ACGCACTGTTTTCTAGGCCGTAAGTCCGGGCTTACAAGTACCCCTAGGTCTCTTTCACAAGTCGACTTCTCTAGGTTGATGTTGTTAAGGCTGTATACATTATAAGTATTTGTTCTTCCAATATTAAGTACGCTGCACTTGTTGGTGTTGAATTTCATTTGCCATTTTTCAGACCACCCCTGCAGTTTATTTGGATCCTCCTGTAATGCATTTGCATCCTGCCCTGAATTAATCTGCCGCCCTATCTTGGGGCGCTATAGTGAGTGGGGCGCTATAGTGAGTGGGGCGCTATAGTGAGTGGGGCGTTATAGTGAGTGGGGCGTTATAGTGAGTGGGGCGTCATATTGAGTGGGGCGTCATAGTGAGTGGGGCGCTATAGTGAGTGGGGTGTTCTACTGAGTGGGGCGTTCTACTGAGCGGGGCGTTCTACTGAGTGGGTCGTAGTACTGATGGGTAAGCGTATTGAGTGATTCACTCACAAGCCGCCAGCCGCCACACCACCAATACCGTAGTGGTCATTAATCACCGGCCGTGCTCTGCCTGGCGGGCCACACCTTATAAAGAGCCACAACCAGATACACCGGTGGACATTTTCACGTTCTCTGCCTTACTTCAGTTGACTCTTGACGTACAGTGTGTGGCAGTAAGGAGCACCTCAACACCTTTACTCTCACTCTGCCTGGCACGACCTACAGTATAATTCTTTAAAGTAATTATTATTATTATTATTATTATTATTTTTATTAATATATATATATATATATATATATATATATATAAGAACGTAAGAATGGAGGAAACTGCAGCAGGCCTATTGACCCATGCTAGGCAGTCCCCTTTACACCCAACTCCTATTTCTCATACGAGTATATCCACCCAACCTATATTTGAAGCTATCCAGCGTATTCGAATTAATGATCATGTTTGGTAACTTGTTCCACTCATTCACTACTCTATTTCCAAACCAATGTTTACCTAACGCGCCTAAATCTAAATTTGTCTGATTTAAAGCCATTGCTACGCGTTTGCTCCTGGATGGATAGTTTGAATACCTTTGTTATCACCTTTGTTTAGCCCTGACTAGGAGAAACCAGATATCAGATGAATAACGATATTATAGAGAAATCCGAATGTGAGAAAGATTTAGGAGTTATGATAAGTAGGAATGTTAAGCCAAGTAAACAATGTGCATTTGCACGAAATAAGGCTTATAAAGTACTTGGGTTCATACAAAGGAGTGTTAGTTATAAGACTAGCGAGGTCCTCCTAAAACAATATCTTGCGCTTGTGAGACCTCACTTGGATTACGCAGTTCAATTCTGGTCACAGTATTACAGAATGGCTATAGAATCCCTAGAAAGAATTCAGAGGAGAATGACAAGACTAATCCCGGGCATTAGGAATCTTGAGTACAGAGACAGGTTAAAGCATCTTAATTTGCACTCTCTCGAGAGGCGTAGAGTGAGGGGCGATATGATCGAGGTGTATAAATGGAAGTCAGGGCTAAACAAAGGCGATATAACAAAGGTACTCAAACTATCGAACCAGGAGCGAACTCGTAACAATGGTTTGAAATTACACAAATTTAGATTTAGGCGCGAAATAGGTAAACATTGGTTTGGAAACAGAGTAGTGGATGAATGGAACAAGTTACCAAACATCATCATAAACTCGAATACGCTGGATAGCTTCAAACATAGGTTGGATGTTTATATGAACAATAGGGGTTGGGTGTAAATGGGACTGCCCAGTATGAGCCAATAGGCCCGCTGCAGTTTCCTCCATTCTCATATGAACAATAGGGGTTGGGTGTAAATGGGACTGCCCAGTATGAGCCAATAGGCCCGCTGCAGTTTCCTCCATTCTCATGTTCTTATGTACTATCGTGGACAAAAGTTCGCTCCCTGTAGTGAAACTGAGACACGGGAATGAGTCTCCGAACTGACTTACCTTGATTGTTATCTGGTGCGGGTGTGCTGCGCGGGTCGATACTGCTTCAGTTTGGGAAGGAGCGAACTTTTGTTCACAATAGTACACCTTGATCATATCGCCCCTCACTCTACGTCTATCGAGGGCGTGCAAATTAAGATTCTTTATCCTGTCTCTGTACTCAAGGTTCCTAATACCCGGGATTAGTCCTGTCATTCTCCTCTGAATTCTTTCTAGGGATTCTATATCCATTCTGTAGATTCCTACTTATCATTACTCCTAAATCTTTCTCACAGTCGGATTTCTGTATAACATCGTTGTTCATCTGGTATCTGGTTTCTCTCTTTATAAAAAATATATATATATATATATATATATATATATATATATATATATATATATATATATATATATATATATATATATATATATATATATATATATATATATATATATATATATATAGGCGTGAGCATAAACATAAACACACACACCTGAACAATCACTTACTAACACGGCCGCTCGTGTCATTGTGACGGAGAAGAAGCGTCACTGTAGCGTCACAACACCTGGTGAATACTAAGTGACGCTCACTTAGTCTCTGGTGGTGTTGCGAATCTCTGGCGGTGGTGTGAGAATCTCTGGCAGTGTTGTGAGTCTCTCGTGGTGTTGTAAGAATCTCTGGCTGTGTTGTGAGTTCCTGGTGCTAATGTGAGTCTCCGGTGGTGGTGTGATTCTCCGGTGTTGTGAGTCTCCGGTGGTGTTGCGAGTCTCTGGCGGTGTTGCGAGTCTCCGGTGGTGTTGTGAGTCTCCGGTGGTGGTGTGATTCTTCGGTGGTGTTGTGAATCTCCGGTGGTGTTGTGAGTCTCCGGTGGTGTTGCGAGTCCCCGGTGGTGTTGCGGAGTCTCTGGCGGTGTTGTGAGAGGCCCAGCGCCTTTGAAGGACGCCGTGAAGAAGGAAGTTTTGGTCACGACCCACGTCAATAGCGGAGGTGAAGGTGGGTCAGGCACACCATAATTACATCCTTCCTGTACGAGTATAGTCACGTCCCTACAATGTTAACACCCCTTAAGGTCCATAGCTGCTCCTCGACGGTAACACTGCTCCTCGACGGTAACACTACTCCTCGACGCTAACATTACTCCTCGACGGTAACACTACTCCTCGACGCTAACACTACTCCTCGACGCTAACACTACTCCTCGACGCTAACATTACTTCTCGACGCTGACACTACTCCTCACACTTGTCGTTCCCTTTTAGTGGATTAACACTCTATCGCCGTGGTACTTACAGCCGTCTCAATACCTCAAGGTTGGACCAGAAGCACTCCACTTGTACCACGAGGACTAAGACGCCGAAGGCCCCCAGTTCTCATTCACACGCGGGACTGAGAAAGTCTAGTGGCAGGTCCGATGAAGAAGGGAGGTACTGAGGGTATGAGAGCAGTGTGTACGGGGCCACGGTATGCTTTCTCTGGGTTTAACCCTGAAGGGAAGTACAGAACGCAAGATTATGACGAAAAACTCAATCAGGTGGTGAGGAAGGTGATGATACAGTAGAGCAGACTGAGTATAGTGGCTCCAGCCGGGCCCAGTCTGAAGGTCTCTGAGTCTAAGCCTGAAGGGGAATATACTGTAGAGCCCGGGAAGGGGAGGGGAAAGAGTACATCATGCCGTGAGGAAGGTGATGGTAGCCTGCAGGTTATGGCGGCCCCACATTATGCTAGGCAGGGACTCCCGTATAAGGATGAGGTCAGGAGTCATTAACCAGACCTTAACAACTCAACTACTAGTCCACAACCTTTGTCGTGTGCACGCCTCCTTTCTCCCGGCGACAACCTTTACCATAATCACTGCCACTGCTGACATTTACCTCACGCTGCCCTCCACCTACTCGTCTCACTCACTCTGTTGTCCTCATAATGTGTTGACCTGCTTCAACAGCTGACCTCTTCAAGCACACTTCACTCCGTCAGTTTCTACACCAGACACAAGGTTTTAAAGACGAGAGATGATGGATGTCGCGTCCTCACACTGACCAGGGGCAAAAATATCAACACGTAGTTCTAAAAACGGGCACCAGGGGACCTTGAACTCCCATTAATAATAATAATAATAATAATAATAATAATAATAATAATAATAATAATAATAATAATAATAATAATAATAATAATACCTGCCTCCACCTGTTAACTTATCTCCTAAGATCTGTCATTCTGAATGTTGTCACTGTCCAGACCCTTCACACTGTCTCGTATACTGCCATGTGAGAACCATTGATATTTGTTACCCGGTTCTCGGAGGTAAACACTGTAACAGGTTGCAGCACAGTCTCTTGAGGCGTCGTCTACAAACACGAGAACACAACGGATGTTTAATAACTACCATGATATTACTAACCAAGGACAACCTAACCTAATATTAACTTAGCCTAACTTAATCTATCATAAGATAACCTAACTTAACAACCTAAAATAACCTAATCTAACCTAACTTAAACTAACTTAACCAAATTTAACCCATCTTAAACTAACATAACCTAACCTAGTTTAATCTAACTAAACCCAACCTTACCTGACCTGAACTGACCAGACCTAACCATGTCAAGTTAATTGAGGGTGTTCTGTCTTTATAATTTGAAGATAAAAATAAATAAATAAATCCGGCTCAATACTTCAAAAGCCAGAAGGGCCAGACCCAGTGTGTCTCCCGTACCGTGGACGCCAGACCCAGCACCAGGTGGCCCCCACACAGCTCGGATGCTTCTGGCGGTAAACGTCAACTCATCACATCAATTTTCTTGTTTTACAGCATTCTTGTGTCTGCCGGAGCAGTGGACAACACCTGCTGGTCCTGCTGACACATACCAAGCAACTGCGTGAGCACACCCAGGTGTTTATCACTGAATGCGGTTGTGCGAATGCCAACCACATACGACGCCATCAGTAAATTATGTGTTGATGCAGATGATCTTCACTGCGCAGAACCGCAACGGAAAGCCCACCATGAGATGAGATTAATTTACTTCATCCAAAGTCACTGATGCGTTTGTTCGGCCCGGGCTATATGCACGCAGCAGACGCGGCACCCACACCACGGCGTGCCGCCATGCCGCCGTTGCTGCTGCAGCACGTCGTGCCGCGCTCGCCTGAAAACGCCTACCGTCATACCGTCACCAATCGGTTACCGCGACCATCAGTCACCATCGTGCCCGGCTGCCATCAGTGCCACGGGCGACTTCACTGTGCCAATGGCGACCATCAGTGCCACGGGCTACCATCAGTGCCACGGGCGACCATCAGTGCCACGGCTACCATCAGTGCCACGCCATCAGCGGCGACCATCAGTGCCACGGGCGACCATCAGTGCCACGGGCGACCATCAGTGCCACGGGCTACCATCAGTGCCACGGGCGACCATCAGTGCCACGGGCGACCATCAGTGCCACGGGCGACCATCAGTGCCAGAACGACAATCAGTGCCACGAACGACAATCAGTGCCACGGGCGACCATCAGTGCCACGGGCTACCATCAGTGCCACGGGCTACCATCAGTGCCATGAGCGACCATCAGTGCCACGGGCGACCATCAAGTGCCACGGCTACCATGCCGGGCGACCATCAGTGCCACGGCGACCATCAGTGCCACGGGCACCATCGCAGAACGACAATCAGTGCCACACGGGCTACCATCAGTGCCACGGGCTACCATCAGTGCCACGGGCTACCATCAGTGCCACGCTACCATCAGTGCCACGGGCTACCATCAGTGCCACGGGCACCATCAGTGCCACGGGCTACCATCAGTGCCACGGGCTACCTTTAAAGTTCTCACACACACTCACGCGGAGGGTGACTTTAATCCACGCCTACTACAGGAGAGACAGAGGTGGGCCAGGTGCCACGTCTGTTGACTGCCACTACCCCAGACGACCACAGACTTAACATGCCATTACACCCGACGATCACCAACTTAACCTGTCACTACCCCATGACCACCGACTCGACCTGCTACTACTCCACTGATCACCGACTCGACCTGGTACTACTCCAATGACCACCGACTCGACCTGCTACATCTCCTGACCACCGACTCGACCTGCTACTATCCGATGACCACCGACTCGACCTGCTACTACCCCGATGACCACCGACTTAACATGCCACTACCCTGACTCAACCTGCTACTAAATCATACTAACTGCCACTTACCGGCATGGTGTGGCACCCTGGGCGTCTGTAAGTGGCACGCGAGGCTGAGGTGCTGCCCGTTTCACCATTTATCGCCACTTATACCCCCCCCCCCTCCACCGAGTTTACCTTCTGCACCTGTTACGGTTTAGGTGACGTCATTAAAGGTAAAGGTGACGGGTTCCAGTTACTGCTATCGTCTACGTCACAGTACAGGTGTTGTTGAGGGCATAACACAACTCTCCATCGCAGCTAAGACCAGCCGAGCATACACCCGTCGCTGGTCCGGTGTGTGTGACAGGGTTGGGGCCACACACGTGACCTGCAGGAGTGAAGGAGGCCAGAGGTGCCCCAGACAGCTCCACCAGCCTGTCACACCTTGTTAAGACCCTCCGAGCCTCACATATGGAACTTGGAGGGGGAGGGTGGCGAGGGGACGTGTGTGGGGGTAAAAGAGGGTAGAGGCGGCAGTGGTGAGAGAGAGAGAGAGAGAGAGAGAGAGAGAGAGAGAGAGAGAGAGAGAGAGAGAGAGAGAGAGAGAGAATATATATATATATATATAATATATATAATATAACAGTCACTCACAGGGACCCACCAGATGTATCCTTCCTTGCTATACTAATGGCGGAGATAAGACCTGCCGGGGAGGAGGGGGAACAGCACCACTAGGGGTCCATACCGGGGTCATCGGGACTATAATAGGATTCACTTAGGATGCACAGCAGCCCGCCAGGTCAGGTCATGGGACCAGTGACACGAGACGCCCACACTGACCCACTTTTTCACTTCCATAAAGTAAACACATCTATTTCACTCACTTCCTTTTGGGATTCTCTTCCACTGTTCTCCTCCCATTTCCTTATTGGACGTCGTGGCTGAGTGGGTAGAGAAGTGGCTTTGAATTCCTTGGTGCCAGTATCAAGGTACAGGAGGAACCCCTCATACACACACAAGGAACACCTCGTGCACTTGACCCACTGAGGTATCGCGTGTTCGAGGAAGCAGCACTATGAGTCACAGGCTGTGTGTGTGTGTGTGTGTGTGTGTGTGTGTGTTCTTCTGTAGTCGACATAATATCAGTTCTTTTCAATCGTCTCTCACATCTACGCACGCACGCACGATACCTGTCCCCACTGATTACAGGTAATAATCTAAGTTACCTGTAGAATGATTTAAATTAGGTTAGGTTACCTTTGTATAAATTTGGTCAGGTCAAGTTAGATTAGCCAGGTTAGGTTGACTTAAGGTCTGTGTCCCCGGCGGAGAAGGAAGAAGGGAAGAAATGAGGGAGGGAGAGAGAGAGAGAGAGAGAAGGGGGGTGTCGTAGTACAGTATGGCAACGGTGTTTATTGAGGCTGTGATTCCGAGGCTACCCCCCACCCCCCTATATGGCGAGGTAGGCTGACCTGGGCACAGGGCACGGGTGGTCGAGAGGGCGGGGCAGGGGTGGTGGAGAGGGCGGGGCAGGAGTGGTGGAGAGGGCGGCAGGGTGGTGGAGAGGGCGGGGCAGGGGTGGTGGGGAGGGCGGGCTTGGTGGTGGAGAGGGCGGGAAGGAGTGGTGGAGAGGCGCGGGTGGTGGAGAGGGCGGGCAGCGGTGGTGGAGAGGGCGGGGCAGCGGTGGTGGAGAAGGCGGGGCAGCGGTGGTGGGGGCGGAGGATGGTGGAGAGGGTGGGGCATGGGTGGTGGGGACGGGCAGGGGGTGGGGGACGGGCAGGGTGGTGGAGAGGGCGGGCAGCGGGGTGTGGAGAGGGCGGGGCAGCGGTGGTGGAGAGGGCGGGGCAGCGGTGGTGGAGAGGGCAGGTGGCATGGTGGTGGAGAGGGCGGGCATGGGTGGTGGAGGACGAGGCTGGGGTGGTGGAGGACGGGCAGGGTGGTGAGAGAGCGGCATGGGTGGTGGAGGGACGAGGCTGGGGTGGTGGAGGGACGAGGCTGGGGTGGTGGAGAGGGCGGGGCAGGGGTGGTGGAGAGGGAGGGGCAGGGGTGGTGGAGAGGGCGGGGCAGCGGTGGTGGAGAGGGCGGGCAGCGTGGTGGAGAGGGCGGGGCATGGGTGGTGGAGGAGGGCATGGGTGGTGGAGGGACGAGGCTGGGGTGGTGGAGGACGGGCAGGGGTGGTGGAGAGGGCGGGGCAGGGGTGGCGGAGGACGAGGCTGGGGTGGTGGAGGGACGAGGCTGTGGTGGAGAGGGCGGGGCAGGGTGGTGGAGAGGGCGGGCAGGGGTGGTGGAGAGGGCGGGCAGGGTGGTGGAGAGGGCGGGGCAGGGATGGTGGAGAGGGCGGGCAGGGGTGGAGAGTGGCGGGCAAAGGTGGTGGAGAGGCGGCAGGGTGGTGGAGAGGGCGGGCAGGGGTGGTGAGAGAGGCGGGGCAGGGGTGGGGAGAGGAGGCAGGGGGGGAGAGGCGGCAGGGGTGGTGGAGAGGGCGGGCAGGGGTGATGGAGAAGGCGGGCAGGGCGATGGAGGGACGAGGCTGGGTGGTGGAGAGGACGAGGCTGGGGTGGGTGAGAGGGCGGGCAGGGGTGGTGGAGAGGGCGGGGCAGGGGTGGTGGAGAGGGCGGGCAGGGGTGGTGGAGAGAGGGCGGGCAGGGGTGGTGGAGAGGGCGGGGCAGGGTGGTGGAGAGGGCGGGGCAGGGGTGGTGGAGAGGCGGCAGGGGTGGTGGAGAGGGGGCAGGTGGGAGAGGGCGGGGCAGGGGTGGTGGAGAGGGCGGGGCAGGATGGTGGAGAGGGCGGGCAGGGGTGGGAGAGGGCGGGCAGGGTGGTGGAGAGGGCGGGCAGGGGGGTGAGAGGCGGGCAGGGGTGGTGGAGAGGGCGGGGCAGGGGTGGTGGAGAGGGCGGGGCAGGGGTGGTGGAGAGGGCGGCAGGGGTGGTGGAGAGAGGGCGGGCAGGATGGTGAGAGGGCGGGCCAGTGGGTGGTGGAGGGCGGGGCAGGGGTGGTGGTGGAGAGGGCGGGCAGGTGGTGGAGAGGGCGGGCAGGGTGGTGGAGAGGGCGGGGCAGGGGTGGTGGAGAGGGGGCAGGATGATGAGAAGGGGGCAGGGATGGAGGGACGAGGCTGGGGTGGTGGGAGGACGAGGATGGGTGGGAGGGGCAGGGGGAGAGGGCGGGCAGGGTGGTGGAGAGGGCGGGCAGGGGTGGTGGAGAGGGCGGGGCAGGGGTGGTGGAGAGAGGGCGGGGCAGGGGTGGTGGAGAGGGCGGGCAGGGTGGTGGAGAGGGCGGCAGGGGTGGTGGAGAGGGGCAGGGGTGGGGAGGGCGGGGCAGGGGTGGTGGAGAGGGCGGGGCAGGGGTGGTGGAGAGGGCGGGGCAGGGGGGTGGAGAGGGCGGGCAGGGTGGTGGAGAGGGCGGGCAGGGTGTGGTGGAGAGGGCGGGGCAGGGGTGGTGGAGAGGGCGGCAGGTGGTGGAGAGGGCGGGGCAGGGGTGGTGGAAGGGCGGGCAGGGGTGGTGGAGAGGGCGGGGCAGGGGTGGTGGAGAGGGCGGGCAGGGGTGGTGGAGAGGGCGGGCGGGGGTGGTGGAGAGGGCGGGCGGGGGGAGAGGGCGGGGGGGGGGGAGAGGGCGGGGGGGGTGGGAGAGGGCGGGCAGGGGTGGTGGGAGAGGGCGGGCAGGTGGTGGAGAGGGCGGGCAGGGTGGTGGGAGGGCGGGCAGGGGTGGTGGGAGAGGCGGGCAGGGTGGTGGAGAGGGCGGGCAGGGGTGGTGGAGAGGGCGGGCAGGGGTGGTGGAGAGGGCGGGGCAGGGTGGTGAGAGGGCGGGCAGGGGTGGTGGAGAGGGCGGGGCAGGGGTGGTGGAGAGGGCGGGCAGGGGTGGTGGAGAGGGCGGGGCAGGTGGTGGAGAGGGCGGGGCAGGTGGTGGAGAGGCGGGAGGGGTGGTGGAGAGGGCGGGCAGGGGGGGAGAGGCGGGCAGGGTGGTGGAGAGGGCGGCAGGGTGTGGTGGAGAGGGAGGGCAGGGGTGGTGGGAGAGGGCGGGCAGGGGTGGGGAGAGGGCGGGGCAGGGGTGGTGGAGAGGGCGGGGCAGGGGTGGAGAGGGCGGGCAGGGGTGGTGGAGAGGGCGGGGCAGGGGTGGTGGAGAGGGCGGGCAGGGGTGAGAGGGCGGGGCAGGGTGGTGGAGAGGAGGGCAGGGGTGGTGGGAGAGCAGGGGCAGGGGTGGTGGAGAGGGCGGGCAGGGTGGTGGAGAGGGGCGGGGCAGTGGGTGGGAGAGGGCGGGGCAGTGGTGGTGGAGAGGGCGGGCAGGGTGTGGTGGGAGAGGGCGGGCAGGGTGTGGTGGAGAGGGCGGGGCAGGGTGGTGGAGAGGGCGGGCAGTGGGTGGTGGAGAGGGCGGGGCAGTGGGTGGTGGAGAGGCGGGCAGTGGGTGGAGAGGGCGGGCAGGGTGGTGGAGAGGGCGGGGCAGGGGTGGTGGAGAGGGCGGCAGTGGGTGGTGGGAGAGGGCGGGCAGGGGTGGTGGAGAGGGCGGGGCAGGTGGTGGAGAGGGTGGGGCAGGGTGGTGGAGAGGGTGGGGCAGGGGTGGTGGAGAGGGCGGGCAGGTGGTAACATATGTAATGGAAAATAAATGGAGGCCCCTCTCTCTCTCTCTGCTGGGAGATGGCTCTATAGCGACCTGTGAGGGACGCTCCGTAGTTTGGACCCTGCTGCAGGAGAACCTCAGCTCTCACATCACACGGAGACGTTGTAGAGGTTCTGCTAATCATCACATTTGAAGATACGTTGATGCAGAGTTGTTTTTAATGAAGCTTTTATTACTTTTGCCACTACAAGGTGATCCACTCGCTGGGAGC